GCGGCAAACACCTCCTACAGAAGCGGGGTGGTCATTATAGAAGATATAATGGAAGAAAAGGAGTGGAAGACCTGCTTGTCGAATAGGTTGGTAAGTGAAGATGAACAGAAAACTGTTCAAACGTCCACACCACTGCGGAGGACGTCCATTGTAAAACCAACGTACTCCGAGCTTAGAAGGCGCAGGACAATTACTAAAAGTGATCCATAAAAAACGGGTTCACAGCTCAGGCGCTGGGTCCGAGACCAAAGCAAGAGTAGGGGGCTTAAAATGCCCATAATTATGCTATGCGCAAATGCGTGCAGCATCCGGAAGAAGTGGGCAGAGCTAGGTTCGCACCTGAGGAACTCAAAGCTGCAGTAATTGTTGTCTCTCAAACATGGTTACGTGAAAGCGACCACATACAACAGACCATCACAAACAGCTTTCAGATCCATAGACAGGATTCAGGGGGAAAGTGCAAGGTGGAGGAGTAGCCCTTCTGCTTCGCAAAGAAACTCCTCACAGCCGATTGAACACGGAATTCTGCACTCCAAATATACAAATGTGTGCTATCTCGCTCATTTCTAGGACAAACAGCGCCACCATAGCCGGTCTGTACAGGAGTCCGGGAGTCACCGTAGATGAAGATGACCAACTGATCAGGGCGCTAGATGCAATAGCACAGTCCCAACAGAAACTGGTGATTGCCGGGGACTTCAACCTCCAGGCATCTAGTGGACCATAGAGACCTGCTCGAAGGTACATCAGAGGAAATGTTTCTGGAATGGATACACTCCAGAGCCTTCTGGTAACATGTGAAGGAAAACACCAGATTCAAGACTGGGCAAAATCCATCGCTCTTGGATTCGAAGTTCGAAAATTATGTATTGTTGTATTGCCCGATTATCATTTACTGCTGTAACTTTGTTTGTTCTCATCAATATCCGATAATTAGGATAAAAGTAGATCACATTTACAATCTCAAGGTCGCTGTTTCATTACTGTGCGGCTTGACCGAAACCAAAGCCACCGACCGACTTATGCAGCCTTGCCTTTGTTACACTGTTATTCTGTTTAATGCCATTTACTATCATGATTATTGTTACCCTTATGCCAAGAGACTAATGCCATTGACACCAGAACGCTGTGATATTTTATGCCGTCTTGCTCTCGTTTCAGACCGTTCTGTTGTTGATTCACTAACGGAAAAGAAATCCTCCGTGAATTCGCGAAACGTACTTGACTGTAAATTCGTATTGTGCATATTATCTGTATTGACCATTTGTTTAGTGTGTCGCGAATTGATATTGTCCAGCGAACTCGTCTTCTGATTTCGCGTTACAAAATGTCGTCGCGGGCAGGATCGAAGATCCCCAAGTAGACTGCACGGTGGCTGAAGGACAGAAAATTGCCGTGTCCCAGCCTCAGCAACTCCGAAGATGTGGTTGACAACATTGCGAGGAAGATACTCGCCAGTAATGCGCTCAATCTGAATCTTACTCCACCGTTGCCCCCACCAGAGAAGTTCACCACTGGCTGCAACTACCCACGATGGGAACTCCAAGCCCGTGCTTACATCCGGAGGTTCCCAAAGGAAGAAAAACGTGTTGCCCTGTTAGGTTTGCTGACCAGAGACGCTGTGGATCGCGCATTCCAAGCCAACGTCTTCGAAGGCGATGACCTGGAAGCCACATTCGCCCAGTTACGTAAGCTGCTGGACACGCCGCTACATCCTGCCGAATATCAGACGCATTTCCACGCGGCGCTCCAGGAGATGGGGAGACCACCGAAGCGTACGCGTATCGCATGAGGCAGCTGGTGACGAAAGCGTTTCCGGGAGACACCAGCGAAGGGCAGGAGCGCCGCGCCGTTCGCTCCACACAATCGGCCATGAAAAGGAGGGATTTCATGGTTGCCCACGGCTTGCAGCATGAAGCTGTTGATCAAAGACTTGGTTGCTCCCGTATCTACTAGCCCCTTGACTCTAAATCTCTCCACGTTTATCTCAACGCAAAACATTTTATCAGGCGGTACATAAACGGTAGGGACAATTGACTCACTCGACTTCGTGTCGTCCGGATTTTCATCTTCCCGCAGCGTTCCATTTACCGCTTTTCTATAGTTCTGTTCCGGTCTTTCATCGGTATTAGGCCAGCGTCTCCATCCACCGCCGTCTCAGGGGTAAGGGCGCCCGGTCACTGGTTGACGATACGTTTCAGATTGGACACTGGTTTGTGGTCGCAGAACCGCTGTCAGTAGGCCTTATTTTGGGGGCCGATATCCTGAAAAGGCTTCGATGTACCATAGACATGGAGAACTTCACGGTTCGTGCAAGAAGGTTGACGAAGCCGTCGAGGGAAACCCGCGAGGGAACTGACCACTGTGCCGCCGTTGGTGTGGAGATCAAGAATCAGGAGCTCCAGGATATTACCACAAGAACAGAACCCAAGGTAGGCCGGTCGACTGTAGATGAAGTAAATAAGCTGAATACAAAAAACCGAGATATATTTATGATGGACGGCGAGCCACTGGGTAGGACCGGGCTAGTAAAACATCGGATAGAGATGGGCCACGCCGGAGCCATACGACTGAACCCCCGCCGCATTCTAAGTTGTTATGTCCAGGAATTGTAAAGCATGGTGAAGGAGATGCTGGCGACAAACGTGATCCAGCCATCAAAGTCACCCTGGGCTTCCCATGGTTTTGGTGAAAAAGAAAGACGGAACAATCAGGCTGTGTCGATTATCGAAAGTTAAACGAAATCACGAAGAAGGATTTTTTTCCTTTACCACTAATGGAAGACATATTCGACGCCTGTCCGGAGCAAAATACTTCTCAACTCTTGACCTAGCATCTGGGTACTGGCAGGTGGAAGTAGAAGAGAAGGATAGAGAAAAGACAGCATTCGTTGTGCCAAACGGATTATACGAATTCTAGACAATGCCATTTGGATTGACGAACGCACCGGCTACATTCCAGCGGCTATTGTCTTCAGTGCTCAGGGAGCTGATCCCACGGCAGTGTCTTGTCTACTTGGAGGATGTGGTAGTACACGGAAAGACCGAGGAGGAACATTTGGCGAATCAAAGGGCCACGTTTGACTGTCTCCGCAAAATCGGTTTTGAAGCTAAAACCCGCCAAATGCACACTTTTCCAACGAGAGGTTCGCTTTCTCGGCCACGTGATCTCCGCCGAAACCATTCAAACTGACGAAGAAAAGGTAAATAAGGTATGAAACTGGCCCCAACCTAGCAACGAGTCGGAAGTACGCAGCTTTATGGGGCTTGTGTTGTACTATCGGCGGTTCGTGCCTTGATTTTCAGAAACAGCCGCCCCATTGACACAATTATTACACAAAGAAACAACGTTCCACTGGATAAAGGACTGCGAACAGGCGTTTTCGACCCTCCGCAAGGCATTGCCAACAGCACCTGTTCTTAAACTACCACAATTGGGCCCGGAGAGTGGGAAATCCATCCTGAATACCGATGCCGACGACGGTGCAATTGGTGTTGTAATCTCTCAACTAGACGATGAGAGAAAAGAAAAGGTGATCGCGTATGGTAGCAGAATGTTGAGTCATCAGGAGGAAAATTACTGTANACTTCCTCGTCCGCACCGACCATTAATCCCTGACATGGTTAAAAAATTTCAAGGATGCTGAAGGCCAAGTCGCTCGGTGGCAGGAAAAGATGCAGGAGTACAACTTTTCTTGTCAGCATAGAGAAGGAAAAAAACACCTAAACGCCGACGCCCTCTCAAGAAGACCCTATCGGGAACACGTACCTTATCCGTCCTGCACCCAATTCGTGACACAAGTCAACCTTTTTGAGACAGCCAACGGTGAGTGGGGACAGATGCAAGAAAGCGACCCAGACACAGTGCTGATATATAATCACCTGAAAATGGGGAAGGATAAGCAGGAAAACCGGGAAGTCGCTGGCCAAAGCTGAGAAACAAGGTGTTTCTGGGCCATGTGGAACTAACTATCGAT